TCTTTTCGAACATGTGATTATTCAATCCGAGGAGCTTCGATTTTCATTAATGCTTATTGTGCAGAAAAACAGCTCTGATGTTAGCTTTGTGTGAAATGCTGAGAGACCAGTATAGTCTTGCTGCTGTAAGTATAAAATGCCTTCAATCTCTCTTACTTTGTAGATAATGTGCTTGCATTATTGCTTCAATAGCCCGTGGCCATATCGAATTGTGATAAATATTACATTTATCTTTCTGTCCCAAATGTAAAAATACGAGCAGAATCGAAAAAAGGCATTAGCAATATCATTGTTTACCAAGCTTCAAAATTACCTACGTGAACAGTTTATCTTCTTGAAAGTAGTTTGACAAGGGGTTTTTACAAATCTTCAACACTTTTTGTGTTTTGTTTATAGGTGACAAACGATATATTCACGAAAGAAGATGGGGAGTTCTTGGTAAAGCATGGGGCACTTCCGGAAGAAAGGATTCGTGCTGTTGAAACGGGTGGCTGCCCTCACGCGGCCATTCGGGAAGATATCAGCATCAATCTCGGGCCTCTTGAGGAGCTTTCCAATTTGTACAAAGCTGATATTCTTCTTTGTGAATCTGGCGGAGGTATTTTCTGGCTTCAATCATGCTGTTAATGTCTGGTCGGATAAGAAGTGGCTTCTTTCGATTTTTGATATGGTGTATTTTGTAAAAAGTTCTCTTTTTTTCTTTTTTAGAATGCTTGTATCATTTCTGAAAATAAAAATTGCCTTTAAGCTATTAGTCGACAGTTAAAAGATGCAGAAACTTAAATTAGCGGTTGGCGTTTAAAAAACAACGAAAGCTTATACCTTTGTTTAGCCATGAATGGTGTGATTGTGGAAATTACCCTTTTGAGGTTTGGGTGATATCTAAAAGCCTGAAAGGGTTTTGAAATTACATAGTCTGTTATGTTTTACATTTAGCCATTTCATTAAAGAAGAATTAGAAAAATTCAAGACTGTTGCTTGTATTCATAAGAAAGTCAGTATGCCCTTGAAAATTGAGAAGGAATCGGTCATCGGTATTCTTTGGATTTCCTCGTAAATATCCCAAACGTGAGGGTAGTTTTTGAAACTACTCCCTAAATTTATATCTTGTGTTCGAAACTCATTCTCATATTTGTCTAATTTCTTTTCCTGATGAAGACAATCTGGCTGCCAACTTCAGCAGAGAACTCGCCGATTACATAATTTATATAATCGATGTATCGGGTGGTGACAAAATCCCTCGAAAAGGGGGACCTGGCATCACTCAAGCTGATCTCCTCGTACGTTTTTTTTTTTAATTATTATTAATAAAATCATTTAAATTGTTTACAAGTCGGCCAGCTAACTCGTGAAAATGTGCGTAAATAGGTGATAAACAAAACAGACATTGCAGCTGCCGTTGGAGCTGATTTGTCTGTAATGGAACGAGATGCCCTCCGCATGAGGGATGGCGGTCCCTTTGTTTTCGCTCAGGTAAAAAGTAAAAAAGTAAAAACCACTCTCGAGCAGTTTTCAGTGATTAGGCTTAAATCTCAGGGGTAATTAATCTTCTCTCTGTAATCACATAGTGTAGCCTTTACTTTTGCATATTCAACTTAGAAGACTAAGGCTATGTTTGGTCAAACTAGCTGATAGTTTCGAGTTTATAGCTTTTGACTTATCGGTGAAAAACTAGTTTATATGATCAAAATTTTTTGGTAAAATTAGCTTATAACTTAGCTGAAATAAAAATTTCAACGAGCTTATTTGAAAAGCTACCTAAAGAAACTTATGAAATAAGCTCGAGGTTTTTAAAAAAGCTCGTCCGGAGCTTATTTGAATATAGAAAGCTTATAAGCTAACCAAATAAGCTATAAGCTCGCTTATTTGGTTACCAAACATAGCCTAAGCTAATCGGCCCAAAAAGCATGAACCATATTGTCGTCTGATTGGAAAAATCGACTTGTTTGTTATTCATTGCAGTTCATACTGAATAATAATAAGCATATGTATTTCTTTTGTGTATAAATAAAATAGTTCACTTACGGTTACTCATACACAGGTGAAACACGGTGTTGGAGTGAAGCAAATTGTGGACCATGTTTTGGGGTCATGGGAAGCTGCAACAGGGAACAAGCGTCACTAATTTGATCCCCTTCGTTTTGAGTCTTGCTTGTATTTGTACTCTTCTAAGACATTTTTGCGCGTACAACTCGATGTTAAATTTTTTCTTCAAGAATTGCAATGTCATTTTCACTATAAATCTTTTGCTTCAGATTTGTATTTTCGTATACTATTGTCACATTGTGTTCTTGAAGATCGCTATCTATGCATGTGGGCCAATGTGATCCTCTATCGATGTTCATTGACAAGACAATAGCTCAAACATGAATGCTGGCTACGCATAGGGGTTTTTTATGTAATTTTTTCAATTTTTATTTTAGCTCGGTTCGTTGATATTGGTGATCGAGTTGATCTCGAGCTCGTTTAGTTAATAATCCGAGCTTGTCTCGGCTTGAGCACAAGGCAGAGTATACGCCGAAGCCCTAGCTACAAACTGAAGGCGTGGGTAAATAATAATAATAATAATAATACTTATCAAATAATCATAACCTGCACAACACCTTCAGCAGATGTTTTTTTTTCTCAGTTCTTTAAAATAAAAAGAGAAACTAATTAAATTAATCATGAAATAAATAACAAAAACTTGGAGTATATAGGAAGAAGATTATATTTATTCTCAGACGGTTAAGTATATATGGTCAACTGTTTAGTCCCACATCGAAAAAGGATATAAAAGCGGGTTAATCTCTACGAAATAAATAGGGGGGCCGACGCCCCATGAAAACTCATCTTTGCGCTTGGGGCAATGACGCAGCTAGTGAGGTTCTAACCGAGGCGCGTCTATTGCTGGTTGAAAACTACATCCAAACCCCCTCTTGGGCCTGGGCTTGACCTTGGCCCTCGAGAATTTCTGGAAGGGCTCCCTTTAACTAGGGTAAAGCCCTGCAATACCTAGTTCTATAATTTTTTTGTTTTACAGTAAGTTCCCAACTTATTTATAATATTATTTCTTATTAAATTAATTTTCAAATAAATTATAAATATTAATTAAAAATCACGAGTGAAATGAAAATTGGATTTCCGGAAAACTAAGGAAAAAGTTCATGAAAAATGAAATCGGGCTTTCAGAAAAACAAAGGGTAAAATCATTAAAATAATGAAATTGAGTTTTCCGGATAATAAGGGGAAAAAAGGATGATGACATATGAGTTCTCAAAGAAAAAAAAAATGATGAAAATGAGTTATTGAATATTTAGAAGAAAAAAAATATTAATATAAAAAAATTGGGAATGGTGAAAATGAGTTATTGAATTTTTAGAAGAAAAAAAATAATAATATAAAAAAAATTGGGTTAGAGATCCACCGAAGTGGGTAGCCTTAACCGGATGTGTTAACAGGTAAAGCCCGAAGGCTGTTCCCGTCCCTGTCGGGGGAGATGCCAACCATCTCTCCTTTCTACGAACACAGTAAAGACAACTTCCTCATACAAATATAAACAGTGCAATTTTCTGTACGAAATCGATGTGGGTTGTACTTATTAGTAATGGAGAATACTCAAACTGCAAACTCAAGTCCACAATACAAATCTGATAATCAAACATCAACTCAAACACTGGCGATCATTTTACAGTTCAAATATAGAATCTCGACACATTCTTCTACAAAGTACTATAATAGTCTCTAGTCGGGAAACATCTCTTCTATAGTTCGAGAGATGTACAAAGTACAAAGTACATCTCTCTAATCAGCATAAGAAAATCCATTTTGGAGAATTAGTTCGAGACTTAATATTACATCAAGTAAAACCAAATTTTCCATTGACCAGAAAACCAGATTTTGTTTAAGCTCTCGACTAGCTCATAACCGTCTGAGGAGACCAGCAAACTTTTCTTCACATGAAGTAAACCACATTGGTGTCCCTAAATATCATCAAGCTTCCTTTCTCATGCATTACCTGCATAAAGTTATTGATTTGCAATCAGCCTTTTTCTATGTACAAAAAAAAAAAGGTCCATTTGATCAGCCAACATTTACCGTATTAAAATGTAAAGTTTACCTCCAAAAGAGACATAATCTCGGCAGCCGTATAAGGGACAGCAGACCCACTGTTAACCACACCCTCGATATCAGCTATCGCCATTTGATCCACATGCTGTGCATGCCTATACCTCCCCAATGCTGCACTGAAGGCGTCCAATCTTCATGCCATACAAACGAAAAAAGGAAAATCGAACAAGTGTTAGAAATGAATCGTGTTCGGCAAAATTGGTGATGAAAATTGTTGTAGATGCTTTTCTTTTGTAGGAGGCACATACCTGTTTTGTGACATGTTGACCGCACTTGATGGAGGTGCATCTACATCCATAGCTTCCGTATCACTATGCAAAGCACGCAAAATGCAGAAAATAAATATTAACTTACAATTAGTTAGAGAAGTGCCCAAGCAAATGATTATTGCAAGCCATTCAAGTTATATAATATGTACCATATAGACAACTGAGCAAGCAATTTGCACCAGAACGAACACGGTTTTCTCATAAATGACTTATTAAGATTTAATACACGGAAAGTGAATTTTTCAATTTCTTAATTACCCAGTAGGAGCAGTAGCACTACTATCATTGGTTTTGTTTCTTGAATCTCTGGTGTGAGTTCCATCATCATTACCACCAGCTTCAGTGTCTGCCCTACGCTCTTCATCCATTTCCCTCCGCCATTCTTCTTCTCTCTCCTCCATCTCATTCAGCTCTTGGTGATAAATGGCAAAGTTTAGAACTTGAAGAGCTGCTTCAACATCAGGCTTCAGTACCTGGTCAAGAACTAACAGTAAGTCCCAGAAAGAATTTCACTCACATGAAAAAATAAAGGATAAACATTTTACCTAGTTATCAATTATATAATCATATTCCTTCCATGTTCTTCAGTATACAAATAAGAAGTATGTATAATAGCATTTTGATCCTATTAAATCCCAAGATTGATATAGTAGAGAAATTGGAACACTATCCTGGGCCATAGTAAGCTAAATGAAGTGATGAAAATGGGTACCTGTCTTCGCAGTTTCAGTTTGGCATGGGCAGTCGAGAGACGAATTATTGTCTCTAAAGTTCTTGCCGTGATCGGAAGTGTCCCTCCCGTCTAAAGCATATAATACAAATTGCTTTAGACTACTAGGACTTATAAACTTCAAATATTCAGCTCGGCTTAGGAGAATAAACAACTGACCTTCACATTTGAACCTGCATTCCTTAGCTCCGCATATGCAGTTGCTATGTGTTCAGACGCCTAGAAAGATTATTTATGAAAGATAAAGTCAAACTGCGAAGGAGATAGGTATCAATGTGTAGGAACCTTAAAGTATGATGAAACACAAGGGCAAGAATTATGAAAGATGGGAAATGACTAGAATGGATATAATAGATTGCTTTTCAAGCCTTCAATGAGGCATCACCTCATCTGTGAGCTCAGGCTGAATCCTGTTCTTTGCATAATGAATGTACTTCTTAAGAAAATTTATAGTGAGAGTGTCACGTTTACGGCCCTTATCAGATTTTCTCCCATGTAGCATACGGTTATACTTGACAAATACAGAAGACCCAGCCTCTGGATCTTCCTCACCATATTGTCTTGAACCCTCATCTAATCTCGTACCTGGCATAACGAGTATCACGGTTATTAACAACATTCTTTGAGCCTTTATGAGGATACTGCAACTGAACCAGCCAATATTAGTCATACGAAAAGTAAACATTCACATATACCTCCATCAACTACCGAACGATATCGATGCATACGTAACACATGCTCTGAGATCTGACGATCAATCCCAGGATCCATTTGATCCAAGACAATGAACAGCAAATCGAAACGAGAAAGCAGAGAATCCGGAAGCCCAATATTCTTTGTCGGAGTTAACGAGCGATCATACTGTACAGTCAAAATATGGAATTTGGTTACATATAATTGACACTCGTATGTTATTTAAATCATTCCATGAGCTTTGGATTGAAACTCACGGTTCCATATATTGGATTTGCAGCTGCCACAACACTGCACCTAGCATTCAAGGATGCATGAATACCGGCTTTGGCTATGGTCACAGTCTGCTGCTCCATCACCTCATGGATTGCAACACGATCCTGATCGTTCATTTTGTCAAACTCATCAATACACACAACTCCTCTATCAGCAAGAACCATGGCACCGGCTTCCAGTCTTCTCTCACCTGGTTTTAAGGATATCCACACCCAGTAAGCCATCAAGACCAATGCTAAGACCATATTAAAGACCATGAAAACCAGGTATTTACCTGTTTCTTGATCAGAAGTAACAGCAGCAGTCAATCCAACACCAGAAGAACCACGACCAGTGGTTGATATGGCAAGAGGAGCAATATTCATGATGGCTCTCAGCAACTGAGACTTCGCAACAGAAGGATCCCCGACCATCATCATGTTTATATCACTACGAATTAGGGAACAACAAATAAGTTTGGACAAAAATTAGAACAAAAGACATGATGATCAAGAGAGCCACACTTATAAAACTATGAGTAAGAAAGGATAAGCAATACTTACCCCCTCAAGTGAGTCCCATTCTTCAAGTTCTTTTCATTTCCTCCAAGCATCAGCAAAATGACTGCTTTCTTTATCCACAGATGCCCGTATATAGATGGGGCAAGAGAGTTAGCAAGTAGGTTGAAAGCATCATCTCTTTCAGAAACCTTCCTAATATTTTTCATGTCGTCACTCGAATACTGTAAGTTGTGTGACATTTTGTTGAGAAGAGATACATTGTTGGCTATGAGGACCGTCCTACATTAGTAACAACAGATGTTTCAACATTAAAGCAATTACAAAGGTAGTTATTGTCTTGTTACAAGTATGCAGACCTGAATACTCCATTCACACTGCCTTTGCTCTTCCCAGGAAGGGCTTTATATATCCCAACTATTGCCACGCGGTCTCCGGGCTTGCATGAATCCACTAAATCATCTTCAACAATAACGTCCACTGTTCTAGGAAGCTGTCCAGGAGCTGAGTTCTCTGGAACCTCTTGCATTGATAGTGTTTGGTGGTCTTTATAAGTGCAAAGCCCAAATTCTGTTACCAGCAAATTGCCATTGTCGTCCTACAACAACAAGCTAATTGTTGTCAAATGTCCCTTTTGGTGGAATGACTTAAAAATATGGGAAAGGCACAGTACGAAATTCATACTCGTGTTGGGTACACCGAACCAGTCGGCAAGCCGATGTTAGATGTAATGTCTCTGTACTCACGCACTGTGAATTTCTCAGTAACAGGGCAGAAGTGAACGCTCTTGACAACTTTTGGCCTAACAAGAGAACCTGCGTACAAAAACGAATATCTTCTAATGACATCATTGAGGTCCGTTATAGGCTTACAGCTATGAAGTACAATTAAAAGAACTGGATAACTTTACTGCATACTTGAAAGAAAAAGAAACATCTAAGGGAAAAAAAGTTCTCTTTGTGAGTTTAAACTTTAAAGACCCACGGTTAAGCTACTTCTGAATAAGAAGACCTCTTCAAAGACCATCCAGTTTAAATTAACACCACAAAGCAACAGCAACGGGAGAAAAACATAACGAAACCCAATGGTTCAGCATAAAAAGGGAAATTACATTTTGTGATAATGCCCTCTACGCAGACCATGGAGCCTATAAACCCAGATAAAAGCTCTCTTGGGGTCACTCTTCGAGAAACAAATGGACCCTCAAGCCCAACCAAAACCTGCTCTCCTTCCTTTAAGTACTTAGCATTCATGCTTCGGACCATGTCAGTCACTGCATCGCACAGAGGCTGCATATACTCGCTCGGAGACTGCAAAAGCCTGATATTCCAACAAAATCACAAACAGACAATACATATATATAGAAATTTCTTCCTTAACAGAAAAAAGGAATCTGCAATTGACACTTTTACCTGCGAGCCAGATCAGTGCCTTCTCTGTGGTGGTAGAAATGAGAAAGGTTAACTATACATCGGCGGCGATTTTGGGTAAACATGTAGTCGAGTGATTTCTTGAGCTCAATGTTGTAATCCTGAAATTCAAAAACATACAAAACTTCTTCTCCTCACCAAAGCACCGGGTGGGGAAACAAATACATGTACAGCTCGATGTTTGAGACTTACAGTTTGTTCGAAAAACTTGAGAAAAGTTCGCTTGTGCGCTGCCCGGACATCGTCGCTCAGATCCATTGCAAATTCCTCGTCGCAGCTTCAACGCAGCCTCTCCGCCTGCCGGCGAGCCTGACTTTTTCTGTGAGTAAGAGAGAGAAACTTGTTTAGTGAATTTTGTTTGCTGACTTTTAGGGGCGTAGGTTTTACGGATTTGGCGGGAAATGGAACAGGGATAGCATTTTGGCGGGGAAGAGAATGGTCGTCGGTTGGGTTGGGTCGGGAGATTGCAGGCCCAATTTAGTACTTCAATTGTTAGCCCAATAGCTAGAAATTTAGTACTTCAATTTTTAGCCCAATACCCAATAGCTAGAAACTTCACACTAAAATAGTGGCCCAATCCCCAACGGTGCATTACTCAGTCTAGTGTCTTTCAATTCTAAGGTGTATGGGCTAGATGTGGTCATATTCCTGTTCCAAACCGCATTTTAGAGTGCTCTAAACCGACCCGGTAATATATACGGACCGATTCCATGAATGGCGGATTCAGGCCGGTTCATGAGCCCTACTTCATTGATTCATAAACGAGAAAGTCATCAAAATTCATAAAAAACAAAAGTATAATTTTTCCCCCACCGTTGATTATTTGGTGTCAGATAGAAAACTATTCTAGATTAGGGGTGTAAAATGGATCGAGCTTGTGCCCTAATACTCGGGCTCAAACATTTATCAAGCTGAGTCGAATTCGACTTGTTAACTAAGCGAGCAAATAAATGAGCTCAAGATTGGTTTATATATCAATACTAAGGAGCTGAACTCAATCATTAGCAAATTTGAGCTATATAATAATAAATAAATAATTATATTTTCAAGTCTTAACTCGACTCGATTGTTGATAAAACGAGTTGAACCGAATCAAGCTCCTGATATTCAAGTATTATTGAGTCAAGTCGATCTGAACAAAGCTCACGAACGGCTCATTTTGATTGACAACTCTACTCTAAATCGTGGTGAACAAAATGTAGTAATATTTCTCCAATAAATGTATGAACTTTAAAAAAAAAATAAACACTAGACTGAATGAATTTAATAAACAACTGTAATTCTCACGCCAGGTGGTCCGATGGTTAGACAATCTTATTCGTGACAAAACCAACATATGAACATATTTTTAACCATCAAATGTCATACTTATATTGGGGTGTTGTGAAAATGGTTGTTCGTGTCAAGTAGCGTGTACGTGCAGTGTGGTTTAAGTACTCAAAGTGCTATGCCCGAGTTGGTTTTGTCCCTCGTGCAACTCATCAACACCTTTTACAATGTGTGTAATGAGGTTAGTTGAACCAGTTGGTTCATGTATAATTCTTTTTTTTTTTTTTTATTTTTGTCAATTTTATTTATATAATTTATCGTTTGAGAAGAAAAATGTCATGCTTGTAAAATAGTAAAATACTATACACCAAAGTATAACATTGCAAAAGATTGGTATGCATTTTTCATATGTATAACCACTCTTAAGATTAACATTTATGGATATGGCTATGTTTGTAGAAGAATAATTTCACTCAAATTGACTCAAAGTGAGTTTTTTTTATTTAATTATGTTTAATTTAAAAAAAGTGGTATATTTAGTTATAGTGAGATTTTGAGTTTATTTAAAATAATATTTAAAATAATATAATTAAAGTTTATTTGATATAAAAGTAGGAGAGAAGTTATATGAAATGATGGTTAGTTAAAATTACGTGAGTAGATGAATATTGAATTAAAGTTATATGATGTGTTAAATTAATTAATTGTTATTATTTAATTATATTAATAATATTGAGAATAGTGAGATTGAATTAAAATTGAGTTAAATTTTGAATATAAATTAATTTAAATTGAGTAATTTCTTTTACAAACATGACCTAAACATTAACCACAATCACAATGTCAATGTCATTCACTACCCCATTCGAAACCAACACAATTTACTTACACCATCCTTCCAATTTCCAAACCGCGACTACAAATCACATCCCATTCTACACACGCCGCTAAAGTCGCACTTTCACAGTCCCAATTTTGGACGGTAGTCGTCAATCCCTCGTCACAAGCGGCATCCACAGCAGAGGAAGAAGAAACATAGCTTCGCGAGGAGAACCACCGCCTCGAGCACCGAAATAATCTTGAAAAAGAATACGTCGACGACCCAATAGCGCAGATTAATCCTCCTTTTCCACCGGAATCCGGCGGAGGTCCTCAGCTTCCACCGCCGCGCTCGGCCACCGTCGCCGCCCTTCGTGTTCAGCCTCTTGAAGAAGTACGAAAAGCTGGAACCCCTTTTGTCCATGAAAATTACTTTTATATCCCTCGCCGGAGATAACGGAGCTGTGTTTTGAGGAATTTTTTTGTGAGGTTTTATGCTTGTTTGTTGAGGATAGTTTTCCTTTTGAAGGTTTTTTAGTATTTAAGGTGGGGATTGGGAGGGGGTAGTTTGGGTAATAAGGTGTGAGCGTGTTTTTCAACGTTGCCGCGTTATCGACTTATCGTGGTCACTGGTCAATTCAATAGCGAGGGTAATAATGGAAATGGAAAGAAAAAACCAAGCTCATAGGAAAAAATTGAAATGGTTGACAAGAATTCATGTACAAATACAATGACATCAATTTCAAGCCTAATATTGTGTTAAAAGTGCGTAAAGTGCAAAACTAATAATCAAATGAAGGTATAATTTCAACGTTGTATCTAGTATTTCAGTTTAGTACTTTGATGATTAGAATATCGTGATTTCATATTCTGTCATAATAACGAATGAAAAACTATGACCCTCTCACTCATTCATGCTCCACTATTCGAGCCATGTCGAGACCGAGGTTGACCAAATGATCACTGCTATTTACAAATACGAGCTCCTATCCAAAGGTGTCCTCGTCAACACTTTCGACTCGATTGGCATCCTCGTTGATTGGGGCTTCGTCAAGTCTCATGAACACGTCAGTGTCGTTGTTCTCTATTTTGTTATATTTTATTAATTTTGTTTTTATATGTTTCTTTAACTTTTTAATACTTAAGGTACTCAGTATTGAGATAGTTTAAATGTGAGGTACTAATAGCATTAAAATTACATCTTAGTTTGGGGTACTAAATCGCAATTTACATGTCAAGTTTTGTATTATCCTTTTGTTTACAATGAATTTCGTGGAATTGTTATAGAAAAAGTAAAGTGTAATTCAGTTAAACGCTACTTTGATAAATAACAGTGAATTTTATCGGACTATTGTGGGTGCATCTTAATGTGTGTTTCAAGTTTCACCACACACATTCGCACAAGTGTGTATGAATGTATACGATCGAACAGTTAAAATTCTCGTGGGGTAATAATCACCGAGTATGATGGGCTCTTGCCCTGACTGATTAGCTAATTAATCGAATAATATATTTAAACTATGCACACGAGCTTGAAATATCATGATTTTTTTTTTTCTCAAATTGCACATACATCACGACCTTTCTCAAATGATACACAAATTTCGTATGCAATACACAAGATGAGTACAAAACCATAAGCAACGATTGCTAGTTTTCTGAAATTTGTGATTTTCTTTTTCTAAAAAAAATGAAAGGTCATAATATGATGTTTGTGCAATTTGAGAAAAAGTCATGATATAACGGACAATTTTGTCTTGAAAATGACATGACTCTAGTATCCATTCGGATGGATTATTATTATTATTATTATTATTATTATTATTATTATTTTGCCTTGTATGTTTGTCAACACCTAAAGCTGTTAAACGAAACGAGCCACTCATGAGATCGAATCGAGTTTGGTTCAACTAGTTGATAAACGAGCCGAGCTTGAGCTCACTTAAAATTCTTTTCAAGGCCGATTGTTAAGACTCCAAAAGAGAATTTTCATATAATTTTCTATTTAATTTTTATATATACGCTAATACTTATAAATGAGTCGAGACCGAGCTCGATTTTTGTCTCATTTACTTAACGAGTCGAATTGGGCTCGACTCATTAAGGACTCGATCTCGACTAGGCTCGTTTAGAAGTTAACCCTACCAACTCCTCCCAATCCTCACAAACCATGGGCTTCAATTAAGGAAATGGTCAAAGTTTACAGCCTAGACACCAGCCGCCAGCCTATGTCCAATTGTGAAATTTATTATGAGCATGCTCATCAACTGTCACAATCTTGGATAAATCCTTTTGATTGGTTCACAATTTGAGCTACAACGTATTGATATTGGTTGGCATTAACTTTACTTGCCAATTTAAATGAGCTACACAAGCAGCAAAGAAAGCAATAGATCCAATTAAATCATGCTAAGCTGCTTTTTCAGACGGGCCTGGGCTCACTCTTTTAGGGTTGGGCTTGCTCGAGGGCTAAAGACCTCAGTTTTTATTTATTTTCCTCGTAATTTTGCAGCAGTTTACTTAAATACCCTAACGCCAGCTACGCTCGAGCCAAAAAATAACGAAAAAATATTATTTGAATAGAAACTTTTATTTAAAATTCGAGTCAAACTCAAGTAGAATGGGAAACGAAA